CACAATTGGGTCGTTCTACCTCGCTGGCAGCCACCCAAATCTTCGACGGTCCAGGTCAACGCCATCACGATGAAACGGGCTGTCGCTGCTGGAGCTGACGTGTACGCAGTGGATATCGCACTCGTAGAAAAAGATGAGCAGCCGAGTGATTTGGAGAAACTGTTGGCAACTGTACCGACCGAACTACAGGCACTACTGAAACAGTTCCCGGGGATATTTCCGGATGATTTACCACAGGGACTGCCACCTCAGCGGGCGCACGACCATAGGATCGAGTTAGAACCGGGGGCACAGCCAACTGTACAGCGGCAATTTCGACTGACACAGCCCGAGCTCGACGAGTTAAGGAAGCAGTTAGATTACCTGTTAGAGAAGCAGTTTATCCGTCCGAGCTCGTCACCGTTCGCCGCACCGATACTGTTCACACCGAAAAAAGACGGAGGGTTCCGCATGTGCATCGACTACCGAGCGCTTCACAGGGTAACAGTCAAATCGCGATACCCCATCCCCCGCGCCGACGAACTGATCGACCAACTGCGAACAGCACGAGTCTTTTCGAAAATAGATTTACGGGGAGGTTACCATCAGATTCGGGTCGAACCATCGGACTGCGCCAAAACAGCATTTAGGACTAGGTACGGGTCATTCGAGTATACAGTAATGCCATTCGGGCTGACGAACGCGCCTGCGACATTTCAGATGACCATGAACGAGTCGTTTAGACCACTTTTAGATAAATGCGTGATAGTTTACCTGGACGATATTCTAGTTTACAGCCGGGATAAGCAGCAACACTTAGTGGATCTTGAAGCAGTTTTTAAGGTTTTGGAGGAACATCGGCTACTCACCAAGGGCTCCAAGTGCGAGTTTTTTCGGGGCAGGCTAGAGTTTTTGGGTCACATCATTTCGGAGGCTGGGGTTGAGATTGACCCGAAGAAGCTGGATACGGTAAAAGCGTGGCGCCCCCCGACGAACATCACGGAACTGCAGAGTTTTTTAGGTTTTGTTAATTACGTTCGACGGTTCGTGCCCGACATGGCACGTTTAACAGCCCCACTCACTGATTTACTGCGTAAGGGGGTCGCTTTTACGTGGGGGGAGAAAGAGCATGCTGCCTTCTCTGCCCTGAAAACCGTTCTCTGTTCACCACCCGTTCTACGCATCGCTGATCCCCACCGCCCTTTCGAAGTGGTTACCGACGCAAGTGACATCGCCATCGGAGCTGTACTGTTACAGGACTTCGGCGACGGCCTCCAACCCATCGCCTACGAATCACGCAAACTACATCCGCCAGAGCGAAATTACCCGATACACGACCGCGAAATGCTTGCGATCGTGCACGCATTCAAAGTATGGCGCTGCTACTTGACCGGCGCAGACGTGACAGTACGGACAGACCATCGATCTCTACAGTACCTCCGCGCACAGCCCCACCTCAACCCACGACATATTCGATGGCTCGATTTCCTCGAGTCGAATTTTCACTATACGGTCACATACAAAAAAGGAGCCTCGAATATCGCCGACGCACTGACCCGCCCCACTGCCCAGATCCACGCGATACTACTCGCCCAGACCAGCCCGCTACTGACAGGCCTATTTACCCACGGATATCAAACAGACCCGTTCTTTACAGGAGGCAACTCACAGCAATTCGCAGCGGCAAAATGAGTCTATTACGTAAAAGCTGGAACTGACCGGATCTGGGTACCAGGATACACGCTACTGCGGGAACTACTGTTACAGGAAGCACACGACGGAGTTACCTCGGGACATTTCGGGGTAGAAAAAACACGGCAGCAGCTGCAGCGGTACTACTACTGGCCAGAAATGTTGACCGATGTGCAACGACACGTGGCATCGTGCCCCACTTGCCAGCTCATGAAGTCAAGCAGGAAGCGGCCGGCGGGACAATTGCAACCAATCCCACCCCCAGAGCGTGCTTGGCAGCAGGTGACGATGGATTTCGTCACGGGGTTACCAGCTGGGGCGAGTGGGAATGACGCGATCCCGGTCGTCGTCGATCGACTAACGAAGATGGCTCATTTCGCAGCATGCAGGAAATCAATCACAGCCGAGGAAACCGCCCGACTCTTCATCACCACCGTCGTTCGACTGCACGGGATACCCGCATCGATCATCAGCGACAGGGACACGAAATTTACAAGCAACTTCTGGCGGAACCTGTGGCAGCAGTTCGGCACACGCTTACAGTTCAGTTCATCCTATCACCCCGAAACCGACGGACAGACGGAACGGACAAATCAGACCATGGAGCAGCTGATTCGAGCCACGTGCGACGATCCGAATACGTGGGAACAGCAGCTGCCACTCATCGAGTTCGCATACAATAACGCACCATCAGCCACGACGCAACAGTCGCCGTTTTACTTGAATTACGGACAGGACCCAACAGTACCCATGACACCGAATCCCGACAACCCCGTCCCACGAGCACAACAGTTCGCCGAGATTCTGCAAGCAGCACGGACCAGGGCAGCAGAAGCAATCAAAAAATCAAACATCATCGCTAAACGGAACGCCGATCGCCATCGCAGACCCATTACTTATCAGCCCGACGACCTCGTTTTACTCGACACTCAGAACCTCCGCCTGCCCATCACTCCAAAACTCCGCCCTCGATACTGTGGGCCATTTCGAATCAGTCACATGGTTACGCCAGTCACCGCGCACCTCCTCCTCCCTGCTGACTGGTACGTCAGCCCCTCGTTCCACGTTAGCTTACTTCGCCCTTACGTGCCATCCACCAGCCAACTCCCACGACATCGACCCACCAGCATGACACGACCACCAACCGAACCAGTCATCACCCCCGACAAAATCCTGAGCCACAGAGTTCGCGACCCTCGAGGAGCCCGCAAAGTAGAGTTTCTGATCCGCTGGAAAGATCGTACCCCCACCGAGGACAATTGGGTTCCCCTGGAGAAAGTTGAAAATCACCCCGTCGTCACCGACTACCTACGTAGCCGCAATTTCCGAGACATCCACGCGCTTTCATAAGGAGGACCTCCTTAGGAGGGGGGGTAGTGTAAGGAAATTCCCTTTTCCTTACTTCGCGTCCCTGCTCAACGCGTACATCACTGTAGCACCTCAGTCAGCACCGTTACCACTCGCGACCATCGCATCATTCATCATCCCGCCCTTTTCGCACATCGCATCCCGACCTCACGGCTCGGCTGGTAACCCGCACTCCGGGCTTACGCTTCGACACTTTCCCAACCTCAGTCCCAGGCTCGTCGCGCGACCATTACCGTTACCACTATAGTTTCGCTATATAATGTTCGCTCATGCCTTCGCTCATTTGTATTCTTGCCTCGATAGTGCAATTCTCGTTCGTTCACTCAATTGCACTCGTAACAGGGGTCCATTACCCGGGTAATTACGGTAAGAGGGGCAAGGGCAGCAAGGAGCACAGAACTGATACCGGTAGATTATTGGGGCACTCGGCTCAATTTCTGAGGAAACTCATGGAGCCATTTGTTTTTATAAGAGGTGAAATAATAATTGATTCATGTTAGGGCGGTTGTGAGTGGAGGGGGGAGGAAGGGAGGAGGGAGAGTGGGGTTGGGCAAGTTTTATATAGAGGAGGGAGGGGTGGTGGTGGGTGAGGAGAAGTTTGTGGGTGGTGCAAAGGTTGTACCAAAGGAGGAGGCTTGGGAGAGCTAGGAGGACAGGCGGGAAGTTAGGGTGAACCCGACACGGGCAGCGAAGGAAGGAAAGTACAGAGATTACGGTTGTTGATCATGCGTACGATTGATTTCATATGAACATGGTTTATGGTTGCTCCGTCTCACTGAAATTTGGTTTACACGCATTTATCAGTAATGGGTATCTCGCGTTGATGGCAGGCTGAGTGACTCTGGGGTAGGTAGGGATGAGAGAGGTTTTGATGGTTGTGTTTGGTCATGGTGTATCTTAGGGCTCTTCCTTGCCAGTGTGTATTTGTTATTGTGGTGAGATGCGAATTTCTTTTATAGGGGTCACGTGTTACTGTGCAGCAGCACATGGGGCAGATGATAACTGTATCAGCGTTTGCTGACATCAGCATTGTGTTGTCGCCTTCGGGCAACCTGAACCGTCGATGGAGATACTAATTGTGTCACATGATCGATCGACCATTTAGGTGGAGGTCGATGCGTCACACTTTCCTGAAATTTTGGTCGCGCCAAACGACATGGGACTTGGTCGCCGCGACAGGGCTCTTGATTGGTCTAGGTCTGGTATTGTACATGCGGTGGCTGCAAGTGTCATCCACCAGAGTGGCTGCCTGCCAGTGTTCCCCGATTTTCACACTCCCGACCTCCTCGACCGACCGGCACTTAGCAAAGTCCAAGTCAGTACTGTACTTACAAAGCTTCCGACAGTTTTCTCCCCAAACGTCACTGGCATTGCCATAAATGACGGAGTCTGTCCAACTCTTGACCCCACGCGTCGCTGTAAGCAAACGCGCCTCGCAAATCCTCCTTCTCATCTATTAAAATCAACAATCTGGACCAGCCTAGCCTCGACAAAATCTCCGATTGGTCACCTCGCCCGCTGCTCATCTATAGCGGCGGTTCGGTCGGCGCTCCAATAGCCTTTCGAGTTTTTCGACCTTCGACCTTTCGGTGTTCCTCTCCTCCTCCCAAGATTCATCCTTGCTCTTTCTTTCAGTCTCCGCCATTCGTACTCTGATTTGTCGTGTGATAGGCAGTGCTGCAGCGGTGCTGCTTCGCTCTCTTGCAACCACGTACGGCCTCTTCATTTCGACGCGACCAGTAGCGACGACCGAAGAGTAGAAAGGTCGCCTCTCTTTTATATGGGTTGAACTAACAACCCTCTCCTAAACTTACGTTTTCTTTCACTCGGACGTCACGACCTGTAGTTATCAGGCCTGTTGCAAGAGTTTTAGGCCGGCGTCTTGAACGTCATATTGCGAGTTTCCTGTTAGTAGATTAATAGCATCGTACATTCATCCGAGGAAGCTCGGAGTCTGACCTATGGATACCATAATGGAATGCGCCGACTCGCGTCATTTATGGGGTTCGCTCGCAGTTATCGTCGCATCATCACTCGCACTACTCCTATATCGCGTCGTATGGCTTCCCTATCGGCTCGTCGTCGCATGCAAACGACAAAACATTCCGTTCCTGCCGTTCCGGCCTCTCATTGGCCAGATCCCTGAACTACAGTCGCAGTGGCAAGTCATGGAGCCCATTTCGCCTGCCACGTCAGCACCGCTCGGGCCCGAAACGGTCACTCCGCTGCTGTGCGACTGGATTGCGCGATTCGGGAAGGTGTTCGGATTCGCTGCCGGCCCGCAACCCGCGCTGGTGCTTGCGGATCCGGATTTGGTGCAGCAGGTGCTCATCGGACGGTCGGGATGCTTCCAGAAGATGCCGGCCGTGCAACTCGCGCTGAGCTTCGTGGGAGACGGTTTGCCGTTTGTTGACGGCGAAGAGTGGCTGCGGCAGCGCAAGGCCGTAAATCCATCTTTCAGCCATGGCGCCGTCAAGGTACAGCGATACAGCCGTCATTTTCGGAGAATGCACGCGCCTCTAATCGGTCTCCGCTCCCCGCTCCCCGCTCTCCGCTCCCCGCTCCCCCCTCACCGTTCGCCGCTCGCCATCGCGCTCGCTTTCCCACTCCCCCTGTTCCGTGACTCCCGTTTTCTCTCCCGCGAACTTTCGAGTCGACTCATCTCGCACTTCGAGCTCTCCATGTTCTACGCCTCCATTTTCCCAAATCCTATTTTCCCGTATCCCATTTCCCCGTAATCCATTTTTCCCGTATCCCATTTTCCCCGTAACCCGTTTTCCCCGTAACCCCGCCCCGTCCGCAGCACGCGCTCTCCGTGATGAACCGCCAGGCGCGCAAGGGGGTCGCGCGCCTGCTGCAGCGAATCGCACAAGAAGGGCAGAAGGCGGAAGAGCGCACGGCGGAAGGAGGGCGCGCGGCGGAAGGGGCGCGCAAGGCGCAAGCGGGGCGCGAGGTGGAAATTCAGGAGGTGCTATTCGCGGTGACTCTGGACGTTATCGGGCTCGCCGTGCTCGGCGCCGCCGTCAGCGGCGGCCGCGGCCGCGCCACCGCTGGCGTGAGCACCCTGGACGCGGGGAACGCGGCTGCAGAGGCGGCGGCGGATGCGGATGCGGAGGGGGAAGAGGAGGGCTGGGAGGGGGAGGAGGAGGAGGTGGGGGGAGGGGCGATTGTGGAAGGAGGAAAGGGGGAAGGGCAGCGGGGAGTGGCGGGGATATACACGGTGCTGCACTCGCTGGTGATTAAAGCCATTGCACGGTTCTTCTCCGGCCGGGTCTTCATCCCTCTCTACACGTACGTCTTGCTCACCGCTTTTCACCACCCTTTCCCGTTCCATCTCACACCGCCTGCATTCTTTCCCTTTGACCGCCCCCCCCCCCCCCCCCCCCCCCCCGCTCCCTATGCTCGAGAACCCTTTTGAGGCGCCTCTAAAGAACAAAGTGACGAAACCCTTTCTCCTAACCCCCGCCCCCGTCTTCTCCGCGCCCTCTAACCATTCAGACTCCTCCCCACGCCTGAGAACCGCACGCTGTGGGCGGTGGAGCAGCGGTTCCGCCAGCTGTTTGGGGAGCTGATCGCTCGCAGGGCGCATGGGGGCGCGCAGGGGCGGCTGGGGAAGGACATTCTGGCGGCGCTGCTGGCGGCGGAGATGAGGCGCGAGGAGGAGACACTCGCTGCTGCTGCTGCTGCTGCTGCTGCTGCTGCTGCTGGCGGTGGTGTTGCCACTGCTGGTGCAACTGCCGGTGCTGGTGGTGGCGTGCTGTCGGCTGCGCTGGTGAACAGGGTTGTCAACCAGTGTGCGACACTCATCATGGCTGGTGGGTCCTCGATGCACGGAATGAGTAACCCATGCTGCTGTATTTCCCTTTCCCTTTCCCCACCCCCGGCCAGGCCACGAGTCAGTGGCAGTGTTGGCACCTCATCGCACCTCACAGCATTGCACCTTACTCTCCCCCTCTCCATCCCCCAGGACACGAGTCAGTGGCGGTGCTGGTGATGTGGAGCATGTACCTGCTGGCCCGCCACCCGCACTGGCAGCAGCGGCTCCGATCTGAGGTGGTGCGCGTGGTGGGGGGCGGAGGAGGAAGGGAAGAGAGGGAGGCGGGCACAGTTAAGGTGAACGAGAAAACTGAGAAGGAGGACGAGTCTGTGCAGGATGATGGAGCAGAGAGCAGCAGTAGCAGCGACAGCGGTGACAGCAGTAGTGGTGGCGGCAGCAGTGGGGATGGCACGGACAGTGACAGTGAGAGTGACGCCAGCAGCAGCGACAGCACAGCCAGAGCGAGACACGGTTCTGTTCACGACAACGCAGGTCCGGCAGCACACACACAAGCAGCAGAGGCACGAGTAGCAGGCACAAGAGAAGCGGAGGCACGACCAAAGGAAGCTAACAGAGTGGAGGTCACATGGGAGCAGGCGGGGCAGCTGAAGGACATGCACATGGTGCTGCTGGAAACTCTTCGCCTCTTCCCGCCCGTGCCCGTCGTCACGCGCACGAGCAAGCAGGACGTGCGCATTGGCCCCTACGTCATTCCCAAGGGCGTCGACCTGTTTCTGCCTGTTGGGTGCTTGCACGCTGACGAGCGCTACTGGGGGGCCGACGCACGCGAATTCAAGCCCGAGAGGTTCCAAGGTGAGACAGAGAGCAATCCGTTCCTTTCTCAGGAAGCCTTAGTGTGGAGGAGCAGGTGGAGACCCTTAGCTGTCTTGGAGGCTGAGCCTGCTTCTAGTATTCTTCCATTCCTTCTCTGCACATGCACTGTTCCACCCGCATTTCATCAGTTGAACTCAGAAGTTTGTTTTTATGGCGTTCTCCCCCATTTTCTTCATGCACCCAACTCACAGATGGACAGCAAGCAGCCTGCTCACACCCGCAGGCCTTCATCCCTTTCTCCAGTGGTCCACGGGATTGTGTTGGAGCCATGTTCGGACTTATTGAGGCTAAGATTATTCTATCCCACTTGCTCCTTAACGCCTCATGGAGCATATCTCCTTCGTATCAGCATCAGCCTACTGCTGCTCTCACAGCACAAGCGAAACATGGCATGCCACTGCTGTTTTCAGAGATTTAGACATTTTGAGTTGGATGTAAAAAGAAGAGCTGCTTTGTCGGAAGTACACTTCTACTGGAAATATATTATACAGTCGTCAATGGTATGCTTTTGTTAGAGGGGTGTTTACTGTTCATTCCGAACAGTACATTCCTAGTCACCATTATCCTTATCTTCTCAGATTCTCTAGTGCCACGTGGCACTCTACTTTTCTTGCACTCCAATTCTTGGTCCCACATTCCACTTTCCAACCTTGTTTCTTGCATGCTATATAAACCTTGCTTGTACTTGCCATTATCAATCAATTCTCATTCAACTCTTCTTCAATTAATTAGTAACTTTTTCGCCTATTTCGCCAATAGTTCTTTCGCCAAAGTCTTCCGCCGCGTTTCATCCTCGACTTAGTCGACCCCGCTAATTCTTTAGCGGACTTAGGCCGTCGGGCCTAACAGCTTTGGCTTGAAAAGTGCAAAATGGACCCACGCAAAGAATTAAAACTGTCGAGCACTGAGAGATTCGAACTCTCGCGGGCAGAGCCCATGTACTTAGCAGGCACACGCCTTAACCACTCGGCCAAATGCTCCTGATAAGTGTATCACATTACGTTCAACTTCCTGTTAAAAAGTTCAAAGTTAGGAACTTTGAAGTTTGAATGTTCAAACAGGCCGTTCAGGGTCTGTCTTCCCGCGTTTTCCAAGGTTGGCGGTCGGGCCGGGGCAGCGGCGCGGTGACGTGGATTTTTTCCACCCCCATTCAATTCATCTTCAACGAGAAGCCTCTTTCTTCCGCTGTGGCCCATTCCAGTGTTCGTCAATACCAGTGCCGTGTGCTGAAACCTGTAGTTTCTTGGTGTAAGATGCTGGAGGAGACGAGTCAACGTTGCAGTTAGGCAATATTCTAGATGAAACTTGTCATTCTAGTTAGAACTTCATTCCATGAGTTGCAACGCGTCGCGATTATAGTGTAACTCTAAGCGTTTGCACGCGGTTATAGTGTAACTCTAAGCGGAACGTCCATTTCAGTGTCTTAGTCCAGTTTTGTTAGCTGGTCGCCATGGAAAGGGCAACCAGGTCGCGTAGAGCTGTCGACTCCGCTTCCGCCTCCCGCAAGAGCGCGCTTGCGGAGCTCGCTGCGCACCGCGCTAGCCGCCAGTCCGATTTCGCTCCTCCTCCTGTCGCCAGCGACGATGCCGGCGATCAGGGGGACCAGGCAGTGCGACGCAAGCGACGGATCGACACGTTCGAGCTGAAGGAGGAAGATCGCCTGTACGACGTCGTCGACGAGTCGGAGTACCAGAAAATCGTCGCACAGCGTCGCGCGGCGGGCGAGAACTTCGTGGTGGACGACAACGGGCTGGGGTATGCGGACACGGGCCTGGAGGACGTGTGGGACCGACGCGACGACGACGACGACTCGTGGGATGAGGACGAGGACGGCGGCAGACGGAAGAAGAAAGAGAAGAAGCCTGCAGGTTAGTAATTTTGTCGAACCTTCGTTGTCCTATTTATTCGGGGTCGGTTCTTTTGTAACTCACCGTGTTTGGTCGTTGGTGACTCGTGAGCCGACTCCAAAGTTTTTTATTTCTGGCCGTGCTTGGTTGCCAGCTTTGCTGACTAGGTGCGTTCGGATGCGGAACGTCACTGTCCGCTGTCTCTATTGTATGCTCTACCCCCCCGTGCTCGTGAAAGAACGTCCCGTTGTGTCTCACTTCATGTCTCCCTCAGTGTCTGCCTTATATTCTCCCTTGATGTCCGTCTTATTGCCCCCTTCATCTCTCCCTTCCTGGCCCCCTTTTTCCCGCTTCCCACGTTAGGGCCCAGGCCGCGCCGGGATGGCGTCGCCGCGCGGAAGGCGCTTTCCGCCGCCGCCGCGATGATGGGGAAGCGCCGTGGCGCCTCCAATATGTTTGCCGCTGCCGGCGCGCGCGCCGGCGGCCGGCAGGCTTCGGCACTGCCGGCCGGCGAGGCGCAAGCGGCGGAGGCGCTGCTGGAGGAGCTGATTAACGACATCGGCGCTGACGCGCACGAGCGCTTGCCAGACAAGAGAAGACGGAGAGGTACGGTCCGGTTGAGCTTGTTGGTTCGGCTCGATGTGGGCGTGGCTTCTCCGTGGGTTCCTCTGCTCGTGTTGCTCGAGTGCATGGCTTATTGCGGTTGAGTGTGGATAAGTTATTAGCGTAGTAAGCTTATAGCACGTAAGTTCCCCGAACATATGAATCGTGCTCCTTGTCCTTCACCATCACTCCGCGTTCCTTGTCACCTCCGACTCATCCCGCCATCCTTCCGTCCCTTCCCCTTACCCCCCTGGTTCACTTGCCTTTCCATTCGCGTTCGTCAGGCGGCGGCGTGGCGGTGACCGTTACGCCCTCCGCGTGGCGGCCACTCGCACAGCACGCGAAGCCACCAGTCTACCCAGACGATTTCCATGACGCACCTGTCGTCACGCCGTCAAACGAGCCGGTCGTTTCTGCCGGCCGACAACAGCCGCCACCGCAGGCGCCGCCGTTTGCCGACGATTCACCCTTTCCCGACATGACCCCTGCCGCTGCGGCACGTGAGCACCAAGGGTTGAATGCCGGTGCTGCTGGTGGAGGAGCAGGTACGGGTTCCGAGTCACCTAGTGCTAACGCAGAACCCAATAGTACCGCCCGGATAACTGGTGGTGGAGCTGGTACGAAGACAGGCGTTAAAGCAGAGTCTGGAGAGGAGAAAGTACCAGCAGCAGCGGCAGGCGAAGGGGTTGCAGCTGGGAATGGTGCGGTAGAGGGAGGGCAGTCGGCCAAACCAGATTCCGCCGAGGCGGGCCAGGCGCCGAAGCTGCATGCTAGGCTCGGGGCGCTGGCTCAGGAGGAGAACGCGTCTGCGGCTTGGACGGCAGTAGCAGGGCAAACGGCTGTAGCAGGAAGTGCGGCTGTCGCAGGGTCAGATGCGCCTGTGAGCGTGGAGGGGCTTCCGCTGGATGCGGATGGGAAGCTTCCGTTCTTCTTCCTAGACGCGGTGGAGGAGCCTTATGGTGCGCTTCAGGGCACGGTGTTCCTGTTTGGCAAGGTGAGAGGGGGTCTGGGGGAGAGTAGAAAGGGGATGCTTGGGAAGAGGTAGGCGAGCCGTACGTGAGCTGCTGTGTGGCGTGCAGGGCGTGCAGCGGTGCGTGTTCGCCGTGCCCTCCTAGTGGCAGAATCTCATGACCTTTTGCTCTCCCACCTCCTAACTCACCCCCAAGCAGGTCCCTGTAAAGCATGCCAGCGGCACCAGCAATCCCAGCAGCAGCGGGTCGTTCGTGAGCTGCTGCGTGGGCGTGCAGGGCATGCAGCGGTGCGTGTTCGCCGTGCCTCGCGAGGGGCTGTTTGAGGACTCCCAGCTGGCCGTGCTGGAGGCGGAAGAGCAGCAGGCCCGGGAGGAGGACGCGGGGAAAGCGGGGGTTGGGAAGGGCAAAGGCGGTGGGGTCAAGGGTCGTGGTGGGGGGAAGGGCGAGGAGGAGTCGGAGAGAGTGAAGGCTGCGCGGCTCAAGAAGATGCGCAAGCTGCATGTGAGTTGCATGAGAGGGATGCGTGGGATTGAGATTGGGGAAGGGTGCTTACGGACAAGGTTTGGGATGGGGTTCAGGGAATGGAATTTTGGGGGGTCCAAGGCTTGAGGATACGATGTTTACTCACATGGGGATAGTGAATGCCTTGCTAGCCCTTATTGCTCGTCTTCCCACTCTTTCCCACCTCCCCATACCCCCCATCTCCCCAATTTCCCGTCTCCCCCATCGCATCACATCCCCTTCCCCCCCCCCACCACCCCACTTTCCCACTTCCGCACTTCCCCATCCCCCCCTACCCCCTGGTTACCACAGGAGCTAGCTACGCCTCTTAAGGAGGAGATTCGCCAGCGACTCATGGAGCGCCACGTGTCCTCCTTCTGCATGATGCCTGTCAAGGTGGGTCACCTGCTGACTGCCCCAGGGTCCTCACTAGCAGCAATTCACTGCATGGACGTGAAAATCTCTTGAATCGGCTCATTATGTTTGCTTGGATTCGTATGAGAGTCTCTTCGTACTGTGCTCATGTGCTCATCCTGTGCTCCTGCGCCCTCCCCCTGCCTGTTTGCCTCTCTGCTGTGTCATTGCCTCTCCTTGTCGCACGCAGCGTTCATATGCGTTTGAGAGGAAGGATATCCCCCGAGGCGAGCAGTATGTGCTCAAGATCACATACCCTTACTCGGTAAGCTTGCAAGTGCCATGACGACTGATTGATTGTCTTCCGGTTTTCCTTTCTCTCTACCATGACACAGTACCTGGATGCTGTGGCTGTTGGCTGTTTCTCTCATTGCATCTGCTTTTGAGTCGACTCAAAAGCTGTGGCTGTTGGCTGTTTCTCTCATTGCATCTCGCCCCTTACTGCACCTCTCACCACCTCTCACTGCGCCTCTCATACCATCCCTCACTGCGTCTCTGTTGACAACTGCAGGATGCCCCTCTGCCTTCCGACCTCACAGGCACGCACTTCAGTGCTCTGCTGGGCACCCACACCAGGTGAGACTAGAGGGCTGTATTGACGGGTTGCATCATGTGTGATAAGTCGATTTTTGAGTCGACTCAAAAATCGACTTATCACTTCAGTGCTCTGCTAGGCGCACACACCAGGTGAGACTAGAGGGCTGTATTGACTGGTTGCATCGTCAGGCGACATAACTTGTTCCTGCGTTGCTTGTACACACTGGACTGGACAGAGATGACCCTTGAATCGACTCAAAAAGCAAAACGTGCTGCTAAATGGACAGGGGCGAAATGTACTGCTAGGAAGGCTGTATCAGAGACAATGCGAGGAGAACAATGGATTCTCAGCTCCAGCCCAGCCCCATCCCACCAATACCACTCACAGTGCTCTAGATACTCAACCGCATTCCACCCCAACTCACTCCACTCCACCCCACCGCACCCCACCCTGGCAGTGCGCTGGAGCTGCTGCTGCTGAAGCGGCGCCTCAAGTGCCCCTGCTGGTTGGCCATCGATCGCCCCACCCGCATTCACCCTGGCTCCCAGGTCCGTGAATCATCCCAATACACGTGTACGTTCAAAACGGAATAGCCCATCGTTGCCTGCCTCTGTAAAAGAGTTGACTTCTGAGTCGACCAAAAGTCAAATCGGAATAGCCCATCGTTGCCTGCCTCTGTAAAAGAGTTGACTTTTGAGTTGACTCAAAAGTCAAATCGGAATAGCCTATCGTTGCCTGCCTCTGTAAAAGAGTTTCCCACACAGCGGTTAAAAGGAGTGCCTTACCTTCACCAGAGGAGCCACTGCAGGGTGGAGGTGTCAGTGGCATCACCCAAGCTGGTGGCTCCAGCAGCAGCAGAGAGCAGACGCTTCACCCTTCTGACTGTAACTCCTCCACATATCCCCCCTCCCCCGCCATTCATCCCCACCAGAGGAGCCACTGCAGGGTGGAGGTGTCAGTGGCATCTCCCAAGATGGTGGCGCCAGCAGCAGCAGACAGCGACCCTCCGCCGCTAGTGGTGGCATCTTTTTATCCCCTTCCCCTGAGCCCACAGCCCAACCCCACCCCCCACACTTCTCCCCCATTCATCCCCACCAGAGGAGCCACTGCAGGGTGGAGGTATCAGTGGGATCTCCCAAGCTGGTATCGCCAGCAGCAGCAGAGAGCGACCCTACGCCCCTGGTGGTGGCGTCTTTCCTTCCTCCCGCTTACAACCCCCCGTCCCTTCCCACACTTATCCCTCCGCTGACTCCCACCAGAGGAGCCACTGCAGGGTGGAGGTGTCAGTGGCATCGCCCAAGCTGGTGGCGCCAGCAGCAGCAGAGAACGACCCTCCGCCCCTGGTGGTGGCGTCACTGAACGTGAAGACGGTGGTGAACCATGGGAAGAACGTCAACGAGGTTGCTGCTGTCTCCGTGGTCTTCTGCCGAAATGCCAAGGTTAGTGGTAGTGAGAGTGGTTCTGTGCGGTACCAAGTGGTGCTAAGTGGTGCTAAACAGTGCACTGGTAAGGTTGGTGGTGGCGTCGCTGAACGTGAAGACGGTGGTCAACCATGGGAAGAACGTCAATGAGGTCGCTGCTGTCTCCGTGGTGTTCTGCCGCAATGCAAAGGTCAGTGAAGGGAGTGGTGTGCGGTGCCAAGTGGTGTAAAGTAGGGATGTGCGGTGCTAAGTGGTGCACTGGTAAGGACACTGGTGGTGGCGTCACTGAGCGTGAAGACGGTGGTCAATTTATGATGGCAAGAATGTCAACGAGGTGGCTGCTGTCTCCGTGGTCTTCTGCCAAAATGCCAAGGTTAGTGGTAGTGAGAGTGGTTCTGTGCGGTACCAAGTGGTGCTAAACAGTGCACTGGTAAGGGTGGTGGTGGCGTCGCTGAACGTGAAGACGGTGGTGAACCGTGGAAAGAATGTGAAGGAGGTGGCTGCTGTATCTGTGGTATTCTGCTGGAACGCCAAGGTCAGCCAGAAGTGAGAGCGGTCCTGTGTTGTACAGTGCGGTGCAGTGTAATGGGGAGCAGTTTGGCATGTGGTTTGTTCTGTGAACCTGTGGTCTGACCTCCTGACTTCTTTTCTCCTCCACCCCCATAACTCTCCTTTCTCCCTGCCCGCCCTCCTTCATCAGATTGATCGACCAATGGCGCGCAGTGAGTGGAGTGGGGCGGCGTCGCTTGGACACTTCTCAGTGCTGAGGCGGCTGGAGGGGGTGATGTCCCCCGTGGGATTCGATTCTGCCATCGCTGCAGCCAATCAGAGGGCGGGGCGGGACGGGCCAGTGCTGAGCAAGAAGGGCAGGTGAGTGGGTGTGAGCGTGAATGAGAGTGAGTGAGATAATCGTGGTTGTCAACAGCGGCAGATCCAATCTGCGTTCATCCCATACACTTGCATACAGCTCATATTTGCTGCCACTATCACACAGCCTTCTCCATGTGTGTAATCCACCACCCCCCCACTTCCTCTGTTCATTGTGTCCACCATGTGACTACAGCGAGAGGGAGCTGCTGAGCTATCTCCTGGCCCGAATGGGAAGGCTGGATGCTGACGTCATCATAGGACACGGACTGGCAGCGTTCGATCTCACTGTGCTGCTGCAGCGCATGCAGGTGGGCTCTCAGGTGTTTTTTCAGGTGGGGCTCAGGTGATTTTCCAGGTGAGAGTAACCTGGTAGATGAATTTCTGAGTTTGCCCAGCCCATGCTCACTCCATCCCCATGCATAATGGGTTGTATGTATCCTGGTAACCATGTAACACTGTTTGCTATCCTGCTACATCCCTTCGCTCCAGGCCTGTCGTGTGGGCAACTGGTCGGCGATTGGTCGGCTCAAGCGCACCCAGATGCCCAAGCTAGGGGGCGGCCCTGGCAGCAACTGGGGCGGCGGAGGGGCGGCGCCGGGCCTGCTGTCAGCTGTGGCCGGGCGGCTACTGATCGACACGAGCGTTTCGTCTCGAGAGATACTGCCGAAGGAAGTGAGCCACTCGCTGTCGGCGCTGGCGGCAAGTCAGCTGGGGCAGACGCGGAGAGAGGTGGCTGCGGCTGAGGTGCCGGGCATGTATGGCAGCAGCGAATCCCTGATGAAGCTGGTGAGTTGGTAGAGACGGAGACGCATGGCTGGCCCTCACACCCTCATGGCTGGCCCTCACCCTCATGGCTGGCCCTCACCCTCATGGCTGGCCCTCACCCTCGTGTTCTAACTCTCTATGCTGCCACTGCTGCTCTTGCTCTCCCTCTTTCTCCTCTCCCTCCCTCACTCCCCTCTCCCTCCCTCCCCCCCCACACCCCCCCCCTCCATCCTGCAGGTGGGGCTGGTGGAAACAGACGCATGGCTGGCCCTCACGCTCATGTTCCAACTCTCCGTGCTGCCACTCTCCCGCCAGCTCACCAACCTCAGCGGCAACCTTTGGAACCGCACACTGCAGGTGGGCACACCTTTGCTGTTCAATGGGGTGAAACAGAGGAGCCTGGCGACTTTTGAGTCGACTCAAAAGCCTGGGTTCTCGTGCTGGATAGGAGTAAGTTGTTCCTTTTCCCATCGGCTCCTTATAGGACGCTTCATTAACTTGTCATTGTTAGATAGCTTGATAGTGATAGTGATTGTAATTGTTTTTTTCTTCTGCTGCCCGTCGTTTTCAGGGATCCCGAGCCCAGCGAATCGAGTACCTCCTGCTGCACGAATTCCACCGCCGGAAATTCATGCTGCCCGACAAGCTGACCACAAAAGAAAAAGAAGCTGCCATCTCATCGGCCGCTGCTACAGCCTCGGGCAAGAAAAAGAAACGCAAAGGAGCGGGAGGGGAGAAGCAAGAAAAGGCAGCAGGGGCAGGAGGGGCAGGAGAGGATATTACAGTGACCCGGGGGGTGGAAGGGGGAGAGGAAGAAGAGGGGGATGATGAGAATACTCTTGAGGGCGCCGAGGGAGGAGCAGGAGGAGCCAGGGGGAAGAAGGGAGGACGAGGCGGAGGAGGGGGTGAGGGGAAGAAGGGTCCGGGGTACGCGGGGGGGTTGGTGCTGGAGCCAAAGAGGGGGCTGTATGACAAGATAGTGGCGCTGCTGGACTTCAATAGCCTGTATCCGTCCATCATCCGCGAATACAACATCTGCTTCACCACCGTCGCTTGCCCGGAGGACCCTGCGTCTCTCCCGCAATTGCCCGACCCCGACCCCCCTGGGGTGCTCCCAGAGGTACGCACTTGCGCTGTCAGAGGTACGCACTTGCGCTGTCAGAGGTACGCACTTGCGCTGTCAGAGTTACGCACTTGCGCTGTCAGAGGTACGCACTTGCGCTGTCAGAGGTACGCACTTGCGCTGTCAGAGGTACGCACTTGCGCTGTCAGAGGTACGCACTTGCGCTGTCAGAGGTACGCACTTGCGCTGTCAGAGGTACGCACTTGCGCTGTCAGAGGTACGCACTTGCGCTGTCAGAGGTACGCACTTGCGCTGTCAGAGGTACGCACTTGCGCTGTCAGAGGTACGCACTTGCGCTGTCAGAGGTACGCACTTGCGCTGTCAGAGGTACGCAACGTGCTGCTGTTCCAGGTGGTTTTTGAGGGGGGCAGGCACAGATGGGTGCTGCCGGACTTGGAGCAAGAGCGTGTATCCGTCCATCATCCGCGACTACAACATCTGCTTCACCACCGTTGCCTGCCCGGATGCCTCCTCGCTGCCGCAGCTACCTGATCCTGATCCTCCTGGGGTGCTACACCACACCACTCCATACTATGGAAATGAATCAAAGCTTTGCTAGGGACATGCCACGGCATGAGGAGATTCATTACTTTTTATATGTTTTCTTCGTTCGGTATGTATGGTCGTGCGTGGTGCTGGAAGGTGCTGGGCATGTTGGTGCAGAGGAGGCGGCAGGTGAAGGATCTACTCAAGAGGGAGAACGACCCGGATGAGAGGCAGCGCCTGGAGATCCGACAACAGGCGCTCAAGCTCACTGCCAACAGGTATGATTGGTGATTGAAACAGCACTTGGTGCTGGAATGCTTCATTTGCAACATGCTTATGTTTGCCACTCCCTCTTGTCGTTTTCACCCTTCACACCTTTGCTCTTTTTTTTTTAAGGTCAATACCCTTCAAGTCCTCATGCTCTCCTCAACACCCCCTTTGCACCCCTTCCCTCACCTTTTCCCCGCAACCCCTCCACTTACCTTTTCCCCACAACCCCTACCCTCCCTCTGTGCAGCATGTATGGCTGCCTGGGATTCTCCAACTCTCGCTTCTTCGCCAAGCCCCTCGCTGAACTCATCACCTCAAGGGTACACCTCCCCATCCCATCCCGGTCGTTCCGAACTCATGCTATTCTCTGTTCTGTAAGCGTTGTGTGGTGCAACTCTCGCAATGCGCCAAGGTTGTTGTGACGTGCTGCTGAGTTTCCAGACGTGTCATGATGGTATGTCGTTCCTCACGCTTGCTAAATCTTTGCCCTGGCCTCCCACCTACCACCAGGGTCGCGACATTCTTCAGAGCAGAGCAATTTGAATCTAAAGGTGTTTCTTGGCGACTCTGACTCCATCTTGACCCACCTCACCTGCCCCTGCTCTTGCTGCTTGTCTCTCCCCCTTCCTTCTTTACCACTCCCTCTCAGGGTCGAGACATCCTTCAGAGCACTTGGATCAGGTGCAGAACAATCTGAACCTGGAGGTGGTTTATGGAGACACCGACTCCATCGTGATCGACTCAACTGTGCTGCCGCCCTATTTATCGTTGCTGACACCCGCTCCTGCAGGGTCGGGACATCCTGCAGAGCACGGTGGATCTGGTGCAGAACAACCTGAACCTGGAGGTGATATACGGCGACACGGACTCCATCATGATCAACACGGGGCTGGACGACCCCAGTCAGGCCATTGCCATCGCCCACCGCGTCAAGAAGGAGGTGAGGAGAAGGGGACAGGAAAGATGGGGAGGGGGCATGAGAGGTGGGGAGGGAGGAGATGCGATATACGGCGACACGGACTCCATCATAATCAACACGGGGCTGGATGACCCCAGTCAAGCCATTGCCATCGCCCACCGCGTCAAGAAGGAGGTGAGGAGGGAGGAGAGGAAGAGGGTTGGGTGGGGAGGTGCTTCGGAAGTGGACTGTACAACCCCAGCCAGGCCATTGCCATCGCCCACCGCGTGAAGAAAGAGGTGAGGATGGAGGAGATTGAGATGGACGGGCTATTCCGCAGCATGCTGCTGCTGAACAAGAAGTACGCCTCTGTCAGTCTGCTGAACAAGAAGTACGCCTCTGTCAGGCTGCTGAACAAGAAGTACGCCTCTGTCAGGCTGCTGAACAAGAAGTACGCCTCTGTCAGGCTGCTGAACAAGAAGTACGCCTCTGTCAGGCTGCTGAACAAGAAGTACGCCTCTGTCAGGCTGCTGAACAAGAAGTACGGCTCTGTCAGGCTGCTGAACAAGAAGTACGCCTCTGTCAGGCTGCTGAACAAGAAGTACGCCTCTGTCAGGCTGCTGATCAAGAAGTACGCCTCTGTCAGGCTGCTGAACAAGAAGTACGCCTCTGTCAGGCTGCTGAACAAGAAGTACGCCTCTGTCAGGCTGCTGAACAAGAAGTACGCCTCTGTCAGGCTGCTGAACAAGAAGTACGCCTCTGTCAGGCTGCTGAACAAGAAGTACGCCTCTGTCAGGCTGCTGATCAAGAAGTACGCCTCTGTCAGGCTGCTGAACAAGAAGTACGCCTCTGTCAGGCTGCTGATCAAGAAGTACGCCTCTGTCAGGCTGCTGATCAAGAAGTACGCCTCTGTCAGGCTGCTGAACAAGAAGTACGCCTCTGTCACACTGCTGAACAAGAAGTACGCCTCTATCAGGCTGCTGATCAAGAAGTACGCCTCTGTCAGGCTGCTGAACAAGAAGTACGCCTCTGTCAGGCTGCTGATCAAGAAGTACGCCTCTGTCAGGCTGCTGAACAAGAAGTACGCCTCTGTCAGGCTGCTGAACAAGAAGTACGCCTCTGTCAGGCTGCTGAACAAGAAGTACGCCTCTGTCAGGCTGCTGAACAAGAAGTACGCCTCTGTCAGGCTGCTGAACAAGAAGTACGCCTCTGTCAGGCTGCTGAACAAGAAGTACGCCTCTGTCAGGCTGCTGATCAAGAAGTACGCCTCTGTCAGGCTGCTGAACAAGAAGTACGCCTCTGTCAGGCTGCTGAACAAGAAGTACGCCTCTGTCAGGCTGCTGAACAAGAAGTACGCCTCTGTCAGGCTGCTGAACAAGAAGTACGCCTCTGTCAGGCTGCTGAACAAGAAGTACGCCTCTGTCAGGCTGCTGATCAAGAAGTACGCCTCTGTCAGGCTGCTGAACAAGAAGTACGCCTCTGTCAGGCTGCTGATCAAGAAGTACGCCTCTGTCAGGCTGCTGATCAAGAAGTACGCCTCTGTCAGGCTGCTGATCAAGAAGTACGCCTCTGTCAGGCTGCTGATCAAGAAGTACGCCTCTGTCAGGCTGCTGAACAAGAAGTACGCCTCTGTCAGGCTGCTGAACAAGAAGTACGGCTCTGTCAGGCTGCTGAACAAGAAGTACGCCTCTGTCAGGCTGCTGAACAAGAAGTACGCCTCTGTCAGGCTGCTGATCAAGAAGTACGCCTCTGTCAGGCTGCTGAACAAGAAGTACGCCTCTGTCAGGCTGCTGAACAAGAAGTACGCCTCTGTCAGGCTGCTGAACAAGAAGTACGCCTCTGTCAGGCTGCTGATCAAGAAGTACGCCTCTGTCAGGCTGCTGATCAAGAAGTACGCCTCTGTCAGGCTGCTGATCAAGAAGTACGCCTCTGTCAGGCTGCTGATCCTGGGCTGGGACCCGGCGAGCCCCAGGGTCAGCACCGTCGACGAGGGACTTCAAACCTGCGGTTGAGGCGACGTGCTCTGCGAGACGCTGCCTTCTCTCCCATCTCCCCTTCCCTCGCCTCCCTCCCTGGCAGGTGAACAAGCGGTATAAACTCTTGGAAATCGAGATGGACGGGCTGTTCCGCAGCATGCTGCTGCTCAACAAGAAGAAGTACGCCTCCGTCAAGCTGGTGCTGGGATCCAGCGAGCCCCCCAAAGTGCTGCGAGAGGTTTCGGAGCACAAGGGGCTGGACATTGTTCGGCGCGACTGGAGCGTGCTGTCTAAGGAGATTGGCGGATTTTGTCTGAAGCAGATACTGTCCGGCAGGTGAGAGAGGGCGAGGGTGTGGGTTCAGGTGGGAGTGGATCTAACACCCATGCAGCCAAGGTGTTGCGAGAGGTGGCAGGAGCACAAGGTGTTGCGAGAGGTGGCAGGAGCACAAGGTGTTGCGAGAGGTGGCAGGAGCACAAGGTGTTGCGAGAGGTGGCAGGAGCACAAGGTGTTGCGAGAGGTGGCAGGAGCACAAGGTGTTGCGAGAGGTGGCAGGAGCACAAGGTGTTGCGAGAGGTGGCAGGAGCACAAGGTGTTGCGAGAGGTGGGAGGAGCACAAGGTGTTGCGAGAGGTGGCAGGAGCACAAGGTGTTGCGAGAGGTGGCAGGAGCACAAGGTGTTGCGAGAGGTGGCAGGAGCACAAGGTGTTGCGAGAGGTGGCAGGAGCACAAGGTGTTGCGAGAGGTGGCAGGAGCACAAGGGGCTGGACATCGTTCGCAGGGACTGGAGCGTGCTGTCCAAGGAGATCGGCGGGTTTTGCTTGAAGGAGATTCTGTCTGGCAGGTACGTGCAGCCTGCACCAGGTAGCCCTGCGTGCGACCATGTGGGTTCATTCTCAGGTGGCCCGGGAGGGAACGCCCCCATAGTGCACGCCACGCAAATTCTGTCTCGCAGGTGGGTAGAGCCGGTATCTGCGTGCGTGTGTGTGTGTGTGTATGTTGGTGTGGCGTCTCTTGGCGCACCAAAATGGCCCCCTCACAGGAGGCTCCCTCTCCCCATCCCCTCATTTATTCCCACCTCTCCCTGCTTGTGTTGTGTGATGTGAGTGCAGGCCGCGGGAGGAGGTGGTGGAGTCGATTCACAATGAGCTGCGCAACGTGAGTGTAAACTGGGGTCACACATTCACACACACACTCTCGCTCACTCACTCATGCTCGCGCTCCCTCACTAACGCACTCACGCCCACGCTCGCTCGCTCACTCACTCACCCGCGCAGCATGTTACGAGCAGTTCTAGTTTGCCACCCACTCACAAGCTGTCCACTGAGTTAAGTTACCCCCATGTCCCTCTTCGCCCTCCTTCTCTTCCCCCCCTTCTCATTCTTCCCCTCACACCAGTTGGCTGCCAGGTTACGAGCAGGGGAGGTAGATCTGACATCGTTCGTGATCACCAAGACGCTCACCAAGCCGCCCGGTGACTACCCCGACGCCAACTCGCAGCCGCACGTGCAGGTGGCGCTGAGGAGGAAGAAGGAGGGGCGCACCGAGGGGTGCAACGCGGGAGACGCCATTCCCTACGTCATTGCCGTGCCACGGGTAGGTGCTGTGGGGTGGGTTGGCATAAGGTTCAGTGCGGTGGTGGAGGGTTGAGTAGGGTAACGTCATGTCAGCTCGCAGCCGCACGTGCAGGTGGCGCTGCGGAGGGGCGCACAGAGGGGTGCAATGCTAGAGACGCCATTCCCTATGTCATTGTCGTCCCACGGGTAGGTGCCGTCCGGTGATGTGGGTTCAGTGCGGTGGTAGTGGGTTGAGTGAGATATCCTCATGTTGGCGTGTGGATGTGCTGAGGAGCATAGAGATCAAGTGGGACGACAGGGAACATTACCTGTCACACCAGGTGCACCCCTTAAACACTCCTCTCTGCACCCCCTGTCACTCCTCTCTGCTCCCTCCACCCCAATATTCTCCTGCAGCAATCAGGAAGTGAGGGAGCAGACACAGCAGTACCACCTGCTGGTCGCAGCAGCAGCGGTGCGGGTGGCATAGCGGAGAGAGCTCGGCATGTGGACGAGTTGAGGAGTGCAGAGAGCGAGTGGGACGTGGACAGGGAGTACTACCTGGCACACCAGGTGCACCCCGTGGTGGCCCGGCTTTGTGCTCCCATTGAAGGCACCGATGCCGCTCGCCTGGCCGACTGCCTTGGCCTCGACTCCTCCAAGGTACGGCCTCAATGGCCTTCAATGTGCCTTGCATTGTATGGACGGACAGGCAGGCAGAGAGACAGACGGACACTGAGAGAGGGCAGAGAGGCAGAGAGATAGAGAGCGAGTGGGACGTGGACAGGGAGTACCTGAAGTGCTGTAAGATGCCTCACAACACCTTTTGAGTCGACTCAGAAGTGCTGTAAGATGCCTCACAACACCTTTTCCACCCATCTCCCACCCCCCCCCCCCCCCTCTTTTCCCCCACTGTAACACCCTGCGTCCTGCATTGTGTGCAGTACCGGCATGTGCATGCGACGGCATCAATGGTGCGAGATGATGCCATGCTGGCAGCCTCCTCCATTCTGGATGATGATGAACGGTGAGAGATGGGGTCTGATGTAGGACTGTGAGAGATGGGGTCTGATGATGTAGGACGGTGAGAGATGGGGTCTGATGATGATAGGACGGTGCGACATGGACCTTATCAGAATGGACGGTGAGAGATGGGTCTGTCTGCTGTCCCTTTTGCTTTCCTGTATTGCCTTGTCAAGTCAAGCTGTCTATGTCATACGCTTCTCTGTCTCGCTTGCCTTCACGTTTCCCTAGCTTGCTCAACCACAATTTGCCATCCTTTCCCCTTGTTATCCCCCATTTTTTTATCCACCCCCTCCCGACCCCTTCCCCCTGCCTCCCTATCTATCGCAGCTACGCGCGCCTCCCCCCGCTGCAGTTCCTCTGCCCCTCGTGCCGCTTCCCCTTCGCCTTCCCCGGCGTGCCTGCCATCGCCCAGGGGAGAGACCGAGAGGTGCTGGAGAGGGCTGGGGAGAGAGCAGGTGGAGCAGCAGGAAGCCGAGACAGCAGAGGGGAGGGGGAAAACGGAAATGCAGGGGAGGGGAAGGAAGAAGGGGGGAAGGAAGAAGGGGGGAAAGAGGAGGAGAGGGAGGTGCAGCCGCTGGCGTGTCCGCGCTGCAAGGATGCCAAGCCGCTGTCGCCTGCCATGCTGTCAAACCAGGTGGGTAATCGCAGAGGTCGATGCCAAGCCACTGTTGCGATGCCTGTAAATCGACTCAAGGCTTCTTGACTCCAAGCTCGTAGACGGTTTTCGAGGCGCCTCAAAAAAGGCTTCTTGACTCGGCGCCTCAAAATAGGCTTCTTGACTCGGCGCCTCAAAATAGGCTTCTTGACTCGGCGCCTCAAAAAAGGCTTCTTGACTCGGCGCCTCAAAAAAGGCTTCTTGACTCGGCGCCTCAAAATAGGCTTCTTGAATCGGCGCCTCAAAAAAGGCTTCTTGACTCGGCGCCTCAAAATAGGCTTCTTGACTCGGCGCCTCAAAAAAGGCTTCTTGACTCGGCGCCTCAAAATAGGCTTCTTGACTCGGCGCCTCAAAAAAGGCTTCTGGACTCGAAGCTCATAGACCCTGAACCCTAAGCCTCACGTGTAGTTCAATTCAACACCCAATACCCCAAACCTGAACTCGTTTCCCCGACCTGCAATGTGCTGCACTTAGATTAAGTTTTTGGTGGTGCTCCAAGGTGTCACGTGTTGACTCTTCCTTTGTGGCTTGGCATTTGTGGTGCAGGTTAAGAGGCAGGCGGAGGCGTTCATATCGCAGTATTACGACGCATGGATGCAGGTAGGCTACACTGACAGACAGTCCCCTGTGTTGTATACATTCGAGGGAAAAAAAAATGTTACAATGCAATATTTTGATACGCACACATGCAGGTACTACTGATTGTTTATTGATAGTCATTCTCGATTCTTCCCAGCCCCTCACTCACTTGGTGTACTCTGAGAGTTGCAGTTGTGTGCCCGAGTGTCTCACCGCCCTCCCCCCCCCTGCTCTCCCCACCCACCTGTGCGATGAGGAGACGTGTGGGTGTGTGTCTCAGAACATGGCCACTCGCCTGGTGCATTCAGACAGCCTCAGATGCGTGCTTGTGTGTCTCTTAGCCTCTCACACTCCCCTTATACTGCCCCCACCCTCCCCACACACCAGTGCGATGAGGAGACGTGTGGGTGTGTGACTCAGAACATGGCCACTCGCTTGGTGCATTCAGACAGCCTCAGATGCGTGCTTGTGTGTCTCTTAGCCTCTCACACTCCCCTTATGCTGCCCCCACCCTCCCCACACACCAGTGCGATGAGGAGACGTGTGGGTGTGTGACTCAGAACATGGCCACTCGCTTGGTGCATTCAGACAGCCTCAGATGCGTGCTTGTGTGTCTCTTAGCCTCTCACACTCCCCTTATGCTGCCCCCACCCTCCCCACACACCAGTGCGATGAGGAGACGTGTGGGTGTGTGACTCAGAACATGGCCACTCGCTTGGTTCATTCTGACAGCTGCAGAGGGGGCCTCTGCCCCAACTACCCTCGCTGCCAGGGCACCATGCGACGCCAGGTACGCACACACACATGCAACGCACACACACACATGCAACACACACACAGCAAGGCATTGAGACTCGCACAAGACCACAAGCCTACCTTGCAACCAGGGCTATGCACAGCTTCTCCCATTACTCGCTTCCCCTTCTCCCACAGTTATCTCTTCTTCTCATTTCCCTCCTCTACTCGCTTCCCCTTCTCCCCATTCTCCCCCCCTCTTTACCCAGATATCCGAGGCAGACCTCTACCACCGCCTCTGCTATCTCCGCCACTCCCTCGCAGTCACACGCACCCTTGCCAAGGTACGCTGCACTTGCCAAGGTACGCTGCACTTGCCAAGGTACGCTGCACTTGCCAAGGTACGCTGCACTTGCCAAGGTACGCTGCACTTGCCAAGGTACGCTGCACTTGCCAAGGTACGCTGCACTTGCCTGAAAGCTTCTTGGTACTTGCCTGGCTGGGCTGGAAAAACCCAAAATAATTGGGTCAGGCCCAGGCTTTGCTTTTGATCCGACTTAAAAGAAGACCCAGGGTGATTGGGTCAGGCCCTGGCTCTGTGAGCAAGGAGGCTCTGTGGACTCTCCTTGGTGGCTCCTCTCCTCCTCCACCTCCTCCCTCACCATCTCCTCTTGATATTGTTTCCTCGCTCTCACAGCCTCATATTCCCTCACCGCCACTGCATCCCATGCTCCATCTTCTCCGTTCCCCATCTTCACCTCACCATCTTCCCCAATGCTCCATCTTTCCGTGCTTTATTTTTCACCAGGTGAGAGACCCGGTTCAGTTAGCAGCAGCAGAGCGCAAGCTTCAGCCAATCAGGAGGGCCTTGGATGCAGCCCATGGGGTGGTGGAGCGGATGTGTGACAGCTCAGCATACAAATGGGTTAAGATGGGTGACCTCTGTGTTACATAGTGGCAACTGTTACAGCAGCAATATTACTTAGTTGCAAATGTTACATATGGTACATACCGTAGTAGTTTTGTAACAAGTGCCCGGAGCATTGCCTGTGCTACCCAGCTAGTGCTGTGCTGCACTGACTGCTAACCATCAATCGCTGTGCCAAACCAGACAGGTCACACTGAACCTTGAACCCTGCACACTGTGTGCAACGTGTCACAGAGTAAAATCTGACCAAGCCAAAATACATCACCACGGCGTGCAACGTGTCGCCAAAGACCACCTCGGAGTAACAATTCAGGCGGAAATGACCCTAGTCCCGATTGCAACACCTGCTGGTAGCTGTGCCCCATGGAGCTTGCTTGTAGGAGCAGCGGCTAAAGTTCTCTGGAGCAAGAGGTGCAACGAAATTTACGACAACTCAAGATTATCAGCGGTGACATCACTTCACACCATACTTGCTACATTCCTCACGGCGTGCAAAATCTTCTTCATTCGGCGAAGCAAGCAGTCCGTCAAGAAGCAACGAGCCACGGCTTCACGAGTCAAATACGGGACCACGAAACGACTACTCCACTTTGATACACAGGGAATGCCATCCATCCACCCAGACCTGCGACATACAGTACCTGGTTGAGAAGGGAAATTTTTCATCCTCCGTAGGAACAGATTCTCTCTTCGGAAAGTGTTGGACTGGCGGAGTTGACAACTTCACCTGTTTGCATAGGCAAAACAGTCTAGCGTCGTATGCGCATACCTCCTAAGTATCGGGATATAGCCCGTTCACTGTTCCAACACTGTATGTATGGTTACGACCATTTAATAAAACTTAAAACTTAAAAACCAAGCCAAAATACATCTGTGAGCTACCGGTAGCTACTAGGCAGGTACAAGAGCTACTAAAGGGCAGGTACTGTAACTGCGCACAAGAGCATACCGTACATGAATGAGCATTCCAAAACCAGCACTGCAGGCACTGGGCATCTGAGACAGAGCAGCCCAGGCCAGGCCATTCCAGGTGAAAGCCCAAGCTAGGGGGAGTTGAGCCAAAGCATTCTCAAACCATCAACAGCTAGGGCATCCCAACCTAGGGCCGCTACGCTAGCAACCACGGCTCATTGTGCGCGACGAATGCCCTGCACCTCACGGGGGTGGGTATCTGCTTGGGTCCTGAAACTGCTCCCTCCCACACCTCACTCTTCACTTTTCAGCTCCTCACTCACTCCCTCACTCACCCGCTCGGTCACACCCTCACTCACTCCCACATCCTCCGCCTTCACCTTCCCTTCCAACCCAAGCATGGTCAGAAGCACAGTGGGGGGCATGTGGGCATCGTTGTACATGAAGAAATGGCCTCTCTTGGGCACCACATGCAGCACACTGCCATCCACCATCCGCCCCACATGCCGCGCATAGCCCACCCGCGCCCCCCAGTCCTCCTCCGCATGCCATATGTGCACCTTCCCCTTCAACCCCCCCTCCTCCCCTCCATCTTCTCCCCCATTCTTTCCCTCCTCTCGTGTCTGAGAAAGGTCGATCTCCGAGAGGTTAAAGCCCCAGTCAGAAGCGAGGATCTCGAAATCTCGATACCATGACACGCCTGCTCCTTGCCTTGCCCCCTCCTGCATGTTCTGTAAAGGCACGATGGAGAGGGGAAGGGGGAAGCAGGGAGAGCGTGGGTAGGGGTGGGTGCTGAGAGGTCAAAGCCCCAAACAGCAGCCAGGATCTCGAAATCCTGATACCATGACACACCTGCCCCTTGCCTTGCCCCCTCCTGCATGTTCTGATGGAGGGGAGAAAGGGGGAGGGGGAGGGGAGAGGAGGGGGTGCTCAGAGGTGTAAGAGTGAGAGCATTATTTAGTCGAATCACGAGGGAAATGGGAAACGAGAGTTGACGCGCGCACGCACACACACACACACACACACACACACACACACACACACACACACACACACACACACACAATGCGCACACTCACCCGTGCAAAGTACCCAAACATATCAGTGCTGGCAAGGGCAGCCATGTCCGACTAAATAATGAGAATGGAAGGGATCTCGGAAGTGAGAGGGCACTCGCACTCCCATATTCATAATCGCACACTTACTTACTGCGCACACTCACCTGGGCGAAATAACCAAACACCTCGGTGCTGCCAAGGGCAGCCATGTCCGACTCATACAAATCCACGGGGTGCGGATGGAAGGGATGCCGGAAGTTTCCCATCGGCACCACTGTTTGTGAGAACCAGGCGTGCAGCAGGGAGGGCACTCACACTCGCTCACTCCCTCACTCGCACCCCAACACTCACCTGAGCGAAATAACCAAACACCTCGGTGCTGGCCAGGGCAGCCATGTCCGACTCATACAGCTCAACCGGGTGCGGATGGAAAGGGTGCCGGAAGTTTCCCATCGGCACCACCGTTTGTGAGAACCACACGTGCAGCAGGGAAGGTACGTGGCGCGCCAGCAGCAGCGTGATGCGGTCTTGCACTGGCATCTGCTGCCAGGTGGCTGTGAACTCGTGCTTGGGCCACGTGGGGTCCCAGAGGTTGCCCACCACACTGATTATCGTCAGACCCTTGAGGCTGGAAGTGGAAGAAGAAAGGGAGGGTGGGGAGGAAAGAGAGGCCAAGAGAGGTTGGGGGAGAGAAGAGACAGTTGGATGGCAGTGAGGACAACTGGACCCTTTCCACTGGTTGGGTGAGAGAAGAGACAGTGGGATCCCAGGGGTTCCCCACCACGCTGATTATCGTCGGGCCTTTGAGCCTGGCATGGCAGTGAGAAGGGAAACGGAAACGACGAAAAATGGAGGAGTGGAGAGAAGCAGAGGGTGTCGTTCCCTTAGGCTGAGTTGAACTCGTGCTAAGGCCACATGGAGACCCAGGGATTCCCCACCACAATGACTATTGTTTGACCCTTGAGCCTGGAAGTGGGAAGGAAGGAAGGGCAGGGAAGAGAGAGGGTTTGACATGAGGTGAGATGTGATGAGATGAGATGAGATGAGATGAGATGAGATGAGATGAGATGAGATGAGATGCGATGAGATGAGATGAGATGAGATGAGATGCGATGAGATGAGATGAGATGCGATGAGATGAGATGAGATGAGGTGAGATGAGATGAGATGAGATGAGATGAGATGCGATGAGATGAGATGAGATGAGATGAGATGAGATGCGATGAGATGAGATGAGATGCGATGAGATGAGATGAGATGAGGTGAGACGAGATGAGATGAGATGAGATGAGATGAGATGAGATGAGATGAGATGAGATGAGATGAGATGAGATGAGATGAGATGAGATGAGATGAGATGAGATGAGATGAGATGAGATGAGATGAGATGAGATGAGATGAGATGAGATGCGATGAGATGAGATGAGATGAGATGAGATGAGATGAGATGAGATGAGACGAGACGAGACGAGACGAGATGAGACGAGACGAGACAACGAGACGAGATGAGGTGAGATGCGATGAGATGAGATGAGATGAGATGAGATGAGATGAGATGAGATGAGATGAGATGAGATGAGACGAGATGAGACGAGACGAGACAACGAGACGAGATGAGGTGAGATGCGATGAGATGAGATGAGATGAGATGAGATGAGATGAGATGAGATGAGATGAGATGCGATGAGATGAGATGAGATGAGATGAGATGAGATGAGATGAGACGAGATGAGGTGAGATGAGGTGAGACGAGATGAGGTGAGATGAGGTGAGATGAGGTGAGATGAGGTGAGATGAGGTGAGATGAGGTGAGATGAGGTGAGATGAGGTGAGATGAGGTGAGATGAGGTGAGATGAGATGAGCCTGAATGTGGTCACCTTAATCCTCGTCCATATCCCACATGCCTGATGGTAGTCAGGGCACCGGATTGCGTATGTATGCTCATCCCCACCCCGCACTCACCACTGTGGCAGGTATCGGAACCCCAGCGCCACATGCGCCCCCATGGAAGCATGCGTTCACATGCGCCCCCATGGGGGTGGCGACGAGGTAGAACTTCTCCCCCAGCCCCACTAGAGTCGCCACCTCCCCCGCATCCCGCACGTCATTCTGTTGCGTGCGCCCCGGGTGGGGGTCGCTCTGCCTTTGAGACGTCTCAAAAGTCGCTCTGCCCATGTGAACCCGGGTTTTCCCCACCAGCACTCACCGGTGCGGGATGTATCGCAGCGCGCCGAGCGCCACGTAAGTCCCCATGGACGTGGCGACGAGGTAGAACTTCTCCCCCAGCCCCACTAGAGTCGCCACCTCGGCTGCGTCCCGCACGTCGCTCTGCAGCGTGCGCCCCGGGTTGGGGTCGCTCTGGCCGTACCCCGCCCGGTCGTAGCTCACCAGACGAATGCCGTTGGCTTCTAGAAACTCCTGGGGTGGGAAGAGATTGGGAGGGGTGGAGAGGGATGGAGAGGGGTGTAACTGCACCTCGCCCTGTCGTACCTGACACGTCACGACCCACAATCATGACACGTCACGACACAGGAACAGGACACGTCATCGCACCTGCGTGATATTGGGCAGCATGCTGAGCCGGCACGTCTGCCACGCGTGCACCACCAGCACCTGGTACTTGGCCACGTCAGCAGCCGCACCCATCTCGTGGTACGCCACGTGGCGGCCGTCCGAGAGCCGGACGCGAGGGCTGGTGACGTCAGCGTCGGTGAGCGGGATCGGCGGCGGGGCTTGAATGGCGCGGAAAATAAAGACGGCCCAGATGGCGATTATAAGAGCCACCACGGAGAAGTAGAGTGACGTGGCGACTGGAGGAGGGACGGGAGGGATGGAGAGAGGGAGAGCAAGAATAGATGTGAGAAAGGGAGAGGGCGGGGCGAAAGAGAGGCGGGTGGCGCGGCACTATGGGATAGTGGAGAGGCGTCGCGACGGCAGTCGGAACGGGGATAACGTGGCGGACGCGATGCGAGAAGGGGCAGGAAGATGCAGAGTGGCGGGGGGGAGGGCTTCGAAGGGAAGCGAGGAAGAATGAGCTGCGGCGGGTTGGGCTAAAAGAAGCCGGCGGGTCTAGGCGACACGGTCTTGGCGGGTTTGGGCGAAATGAACGCGGCGCGGTGGGCGTAAGGCGCGCACTAGAGCTCTTAGAGCTTCGTTAAGTACACAAGAGTCGATTCTTTGGAATCCTTTCGGTCTTTTCGAGCATTTTCTTGAGACGTGTCAAAAGCATTCTTCTAGAGAGCTCTCACCTCCCTGCTTGCCTTTCCCCGCACTTCCCGGCCCCGCATTGCTGTCCCGCGCACGCCGCCGCGCCGCCGCGAGCCGCGCGCGCTCCTGCGGAGTCAGCTGCTTCGCGCCGCCTGCCTTTACGGGTTGCGGTTTCGAGTCGCCTCCCGCGCCGACGGCGCCCGATGCGGCTGCCGTTGAGGGCTGCTCGGAACTGTCAGATCCAGAAGCACCGGCCATCGTACGGTGAGGAAAGATGATGTGTAAAGCAAATCTAAACTCTCATTCCCAGCACAGGCCGAGATTTAACTCTCAAACGAAGCGGAGCGGTACTTTTCTTATGAATGGAGAAAGTGAGACGAGAGCGAGAAAGGGGAAGGTCTGGTCTGGAGGGGGGAGAAAGATGAGCGAGCACACACAACAGGCAGTGAAGCGAGGCCCGGCCCGAGCCGAGGCGGACGAGACGACGACAATCAATGCAGTGTGTCGATAGTACGGTACGGAAGTAACGCAAGAGAGACGTGTAGAGTCGAGGGGCGTACAGTACAAGAGCCATTCAAGACGAGCGACCTCCCATATCCGTCGTGTACGGTAGTGCCTGTATTTTCCAGATCCAGACTTGAGGTGGCGTGGCGATATTTCAACGACACATGGACGGCGAGAAAAGGGGCACATCTGCCTGGCGGTGGTGGGGGCAAGGTACACCTAATGCTCGTTAGAGCCCCTCCCGGTTGCCTTGTGAAGGGGGTCTGTAAGCTAAAACGTCATTTCGTCGGTTCGTCAAGGGTTTCGTCAGGCTTTGCGCGTGCATTTAACGCGCATATGGTTACCACTCGCTTTGTCCGTTATGTAACAGTGTCTGGTGGCACCTGTTGTCACAAGTGCGCGTTACCGAAATCCACACGAAAGCAAAACTGAACCGTCAAGCAACATCAACATTTGTTCAACTTAAATTGAAACAGCTGACACACAAAGCCGGGCCAGTCACGAACTACCACATGGCCCCTCATCCCCTGTACTGCAATTGTGCCCGTTACGTGCACAATCCAAACACATAGCAAATCCACAAAAAATCCACCATCCTAACCTTCGACTCTTCACGAGTCCACAAAACGAATTCACGCATGCATCCACTCTGCCGCCTCCACGTACCCGCCCATCGCGGCGCCAACCCCGGCGTCCAGAAACTGCTGACGGCGGGACGGCTGGGTTATCCAGCCAGGCAGCACTCGGCCCCTCGGACGCGGGGTGTCAGGCGGCGGAATTAAGGTCGGCGAAAGCCGCGGCGGCGGGGCCGTGTTGAGATTGAGCGCGGGGCTTGCCCGCTCCATGCGCTCCCTGATAATCGGATTACGAATGTCGAACAGGTGGCAAAGGTCGCGCGGCGTAACGCTCACGGCGCGAGCGTAGCCGATGAGCATCTCGCTGGCCGCCCATGCCGTGCGCCGCGCTTCACGGCCGATTGGGTCGGATTCGTCATACACGGCCTGCATCGTGGTCGGCGCCCTCCATAGCTCCGCCACTAGGCCCACGTCCGCATCATCCGGTGTCGCGCCCGCTGCCGCCTCCGCGCACGTCGGCTCGCCCTCGTCGATGCAGCCCGTTCGCCAAAAGCACCTCTGGATGGTGCGCGCACCGACACTCATCCAGGCGTCTGAGAGCCACCCCAGCACATCGCGCAGATTGGGGCGATAGCGGGCCACGGCGCTTGTTGCGCCGTCGTCGTTCCACAGCGCCATGAAGGCACGCAGCCAGTGCTGGCGATAGCGGGCCTTCGCGGTCGCGATTATCCCCTGGTCGAGCGGCTGCGTGAAGGCGGTTGTGTTCGGCGGCAGGAAGATGAGGCGCACGTTGCTGAGGCGGGTGGTCCGCATGCCGCATACGATTTCGCTCCACGCGCACTCGTCCCGCAGCATGTGGGAGCTGGCATTGTCGAGCAGCACCGCGATTTCCCTCCCTTCGGCATACATCGCGGCATTGAGCTGCGATATGAAGTTGGTGAACAACTGTTGGGGGGGATTGGGATGGAGGGTGGGGGGGGGGGGGGGGGGGGGGGTCGGGTTGAGAAAACTATAAATTAACATAAGTAACATAAGAACACATGCACAAATAGAATTACACGGCCGGGTGCACACTTACCGCACTGGTCATCCAGCCCTTGGCGTTATGCCGCTAGTAGCAGACGGCTTCGGGGTCGTAGTCCGGCCGGAAGTCATGAGGATGGCGCGCCTTGCTGATGACGAGCGGCCGGAAAACATGGCTGCCGTCGTCGTTGACGAGAAACGCGACGGTCAGCCGCTCCTTTGAGACCTTGCGCCCCGGAATGCGGGCGTTGCTGTATGTTTTTTGTGGCAGCACAGAGAGCCACAGAGCTGTCTCGTCAAGATTGAAGGTGTCGCGCGGCTGGTAGCCGAGGTGAGTAAGAAGCGCCGGCACCTTCTCACGCGCTTCACGCACAGCAGCCATGTCGGCGCTCGCCGCCTCGCCGGTGGCGGCACGGCACCGCACTCCCGTGCGCCGCAACGCACGGCGCACCCAGCCAATGGAGCATCGAAACACGGGCGGAATGCCCATGTTGCGCGCCATAATCGCCACGTGGTTGCGGATCGTTTGCAGAGTGAGTGGTACGCCTGCGGGGCCAGCGTTATCAATCCAGCGAGCCATCGCCTGCTCAAGCTTGGGCCATGCGCCACCACGACGGCGCACTTGATTGGCGGCGGCGGGGTCGGTGATTGCCCAACGATCGGCATTCTTCAAAATGCGTCCGACCGTGGAGCGGTCAGGCCGCAGGCCATAATGGGCGTAAACCCAGCGGGCCAAGTCTACGTGACGCAGAAGGGGGTGCTCGACGTGATGCGCGCATAATGCGCGCTTGATGTGCAGCGGAAGCTGCTCACGGCGATTAAATCGCGGCATGGTGGGCGTGCTGTGGGGGATAAGGTGAAGGTGATGCTTTAGTGAATTTGCTAATCGGTTTTTATCTTCATTTGGCGGTCGAGGATGATCGTTGCTGGGGCCTGTTCGGTTTGACTGGGTTGAATTTGTGTGGTGGGTGTTCGTTGCATGCTCGTGTCGAACATGTGGATGGGTTACCACCATAGTGCAAAGCTGACGTGGGGTTTTCGAACAACGCCTGGTTGTTAATGGGCTTGTACCCCACAAGTGCGGAATACACGTGGCAGCGTGCACCAGCCCAGAAGTCTGTTACACGCACCATGATACTCGCCTAGGTGGCGGGGCAGGTGGGCGAATGCACTTACGAAACCACTGTCATTTCGTCCATTCGTTTCGTCGAGTTGGAGCCTGGCCTAGAAACAAGGGAAAACATGGGTCGGCACTGCTTGTTGTGGTCTGCACGTGGGGGAGAGGCCGAGCCGCGTGCACTGTAGAAGGCCATCCAGGTGCCTGTACATGGGGTGCAGCAAGCAGGGGTTTCGATTTCGGGGGCAGCGTGTCCATCCGGTGCATGGCAAATTCGCGTGCACTGGTCGGGCATCATGTGTACACGCGAGATAATACGAGTCGATAAACATTCGAGTGCGTTGTGTGGGGTGCGACGGTTGCTGGTTGGGTGTGATTCAATACACTACTTTGATTTTGAGGCCTAGCATCCCGCACTTCAAGAAACTCAAGAACATAGTAATCTTACTTAAATGGGTGGTGGAAAACCAAAATTCATAATATTATGTGTTATTTCACATTGTAAACTTCAAAATCACATCCCCAGATCTAGCACAAGTGCATACATTCCAACTTACAAGCACCATGATTTTTTTTTTACTATTGTAAGGAAAATCCATTTTCCTTACTTCGCGTCCCCGCTCAGCGCGTACACCACGATAGCACCACAGTCAGCACCGTTACCACTCGCAACTCTCGCATCGACAATCCTCCCGCCACCTTCGCACATCGCACCCCGACCTCACGGCTGGTTGGGTAATCCGCGCTCCGAACCTCCGCTTCGACACTTTCCCAAACTTCAGTCCCAAGCCCGTCGCGCGACAACCAAAGTCCATTACCGTTACCACTGTAGTTTCGCTATATATTCTTCGCTCACACCTTCGCTCATTGTACTTTTTACTTCGATAGTGCAATTCTCACTTGCTCACTCAATTGCACTCGTAACATTTGGTATTCAGTGCCTACGTTCTCTTCTCGGACCGCACCCACACCTTCGTTTCCTCACTATCTCAATTTTTGGGGGGGGGTAGACGTCTCTCAACGACACAGCACCGCCGCTCGTAGTGCTCTCATGTAAGCACGCACGGCCAAAACAGAAGCTCTTGCTGAGCTCACCCGACACCCCCGCCATGGCCGAATTCGCGCTCGCAACATTGACGCAGCAGTAGCTCGACCGTCCGGTGCGCCAACTTGAAGATTCGGCGCTCGAAATTGCGACGCTCACGGCGGAACGTGACTCCATGCGTCAGCAATCAACGGACAACGCCCCCGCGCCACCACACGCACCAACAAATGCATCTGCACAATCGGATGAGCCGATCATCATTTCGTCCGGCACACCAATATAACACGACAGCATGGGACAGCGCTCAGGCGCAGCTAGTGATGGTGCCGCCCAGCCGATGCCTGGCATGAGAGGGAACAGGGTCGCACCAAGCCCGCGGGAGCCTCGCGAAGCCCGTCGGCACGTGGAGTTTGCGGCGACAAGAGGCGAACAGGCCATCATGGCACCAATGCTACTCAAGCCGCAACGCCCGCCCTGCTTCGACCCAAGCCAACGTGGAGTTCCGACGGTTCAATCGTGGGTCTTCACGATGAACGTCTTCTTCGACGCGAATTACGTCGAGTCGGACGCAGTGAAGATTCGGTATGCCGTTTCGCTGCTGAGGGGCCTCGCCATGGAATGGTGGCAAGTCATCGTGACGTCGCCACGCGCCTACGAGCCACCGTCGCAAGAGGAAGGGCCCACGGGTCCACCTGTCACCTGGAGTTCATTCTGCGAGACCGCCCAGTACAGCACGTGGGATGCGAGGTGCGCAGGGGTTCGGATGCACTTTGAGCCAATCGCGGCTTCTATTTCGGGGCGTCAGAGACTGCATACTTGGCGGCAGCTCGGATCGGTTCAAGACTACACGGGCGGTTTTCTCGCATTATGCGAGCAAGTCGGCAACATGCACGAAGCGGAGCGGGTGGACCGTTACGTCGGAGGGCTGAAACCGGACATCTCGCACGAAATTATGCTACACAGGCTCTCTAACTTCAGCGAGATTCTTGCGCTCGCCGAGAAAATCGACATTTTACGCCGTCCGAGACCAGGGTCCTACTACGGACATCTTCCCCGGGGACCGATCGAGCATGCCACCGTACACGCCGTTGCGACGAATGCAGCTGCCGCACCGTTTAAGGGGCGCTGCTTTGCTTGCATTAGGCCGGGCCATCGCAAGAGCAAATGCCCGGAGGAGCTGAGGCGCCGCGGAGCAGAGCAGGGGAGGGAGTCTCAGAGGCACGGAAACGCCAGCAGACAGTAGGAGTCGGGCCAACTACTGACGAGACTGTCTGCTCGCCCAACCGCACCGACCCTCACCGAGTCGCAGTACCGATTCACGCCATCGATCGGGCTCGGATAAATAAGGAGGGTACAGCGACGGATTGCCCAGTACTGATCCACGGGAAAATACAAGGAGCAGCAGTGAAGATTTTTATCGACGGAGGAGCAAGCCATAGTTTAGTTAATACTGCAACCGCACGGAAACTGCAATTGACACTCAGCCGGTGCTTACCAGAGATCGACACACACTTTGTTGACGGCACGCCGCTGGCCATACGGGAGAAGGTGGAAAGAGTAAAAGTTCGTTGCGGGGGGGAAATTCGGATATACAATGGAAATGTGAAATTATAATGTTGTGTAGGCTATAGTGGGGTGGTCTATATGGGGTACACATTTCTAGGGTTGCATATTTGTATCACTTTCATTCCTTAGGGCGTATCTTTTGTTCCAGTCATGAGCACTGTTTGGGGCATCCGCAATTAGCGCATGACCCAAAGTGGGGCGTCGAGGCGCGCGCGGTCCGAAGTTCGGGTCATCCATCCCCCTGCATGCGACCGTCATTCAAAACGTTCCCCCGACCAATCAGAATGCACTGCGACCCCATGTTCTGTACCACTCTGTAGACGACCGTCTTCAGTTGACTCACGCCCGTCAATGTCAAGTGTGTACCTCTCAAACGGGAATTTTGACGGTGTGGTGAGTGGGTTGAGTGTCGCGTGGGCCGGTAGAAGTGTTTCGTGTGTGGTGGTTTGGCTCGGCCCGATTGGGTGCGACGGTTGACGGGAGTCGCTTTCTGGGCGGGGAAAAGAGCGCGCCATTTTACGGGTCGCTCAGGCCTGAAGGCCCCGAAGTGGTGTTATGTGCAGTTTGGGTCATCCGCAATTTGCGCATGCCCGGAACAGTGCTCATGACTGGAACAAAAGATACGCCCTTAGTCAATCATTCTCGTTGATTCTCACATGGTTTCAGAGCACTTATGCTCCTGGCCTGTGGGCCCTACTACTGCTTCCGCTGCTACTCGATCTGTCGCACGCCCCGTGGCATGCGACCTATTTGGCGCGCGGCGATTTTCTCTCTGGCGCGCGCCTCGAGGCGCGCGGCCCTGTTCCTTCTAGGCGCGGCCCCACTGCCCCGTCGCGGCCCCATCTCGTCGCGCCGCCCTAGCGGCCTCGTCGCCCTATCGGCCCCGCCGCCCTTCGCTGCGGCCCCGCCGCCCTTCGCTGCGGCCCCGCCGCCCTTCGCTGCAGCCCCGCCGCCCTTCGCTGCGGCCCCGCCACCCTTCGCTGCGGCCCCGCCGCCCTTCGCTGCAGCCCCGCCACCCTTTGCTGCGGCCCCGCCGCCCTTCGCTGCGGCCCCGCCGCCCTTCGCTGCTGGCCCCGTCGCCTGCCCCTGCGGCCCCGGCTCTGCCCTTCCTGGCCCCGGCGCCACCTCGGCTGGCCCCATCGCCTCGCTCGGCGACCCTGACACCGCCCTTCCCGTCCCGGCCCCGCCTCTGCTGGCCCCGTCGCCTACCCCTGCAGCCCCGGCGCTGCCCTTCCCGGCCCCGGCGCCATCTCTTCTGGCCCAGTCGCCGCTCCACCTGGCCCCGCCGCCGTTCCCAAGCGGCCCCGCCGTCACCACCGAGCCGCCGGCGCCGCCGAGCTACTACCGAGCCGCCCGAGCCGCAGCGTCACCTGAGCCGCCCGAGCCGCTGGATCGCCGAGCTGCCGAGCTGCAGCTGCTGCCGAGCCGCCGTACTGCCCGAGCCGCCCGAGCCACCGAGTCGCCGAGCCGCAGTTGCCGCCGAGCCGCCCGAGTCGCCCGAGCCGCACAGCCGCAGTTGCTGCCGAGCCGCCGTGCTGTCGAGCCGCTGAGTCGCCGAGCCTGCTCTTCCCACCACTGGTGAGCCCCTGCCCTGCTAGCACCCTGCCTTTCGGCCTGCCTGGCTGCCTGCCTTACTGCTGTTACTCCTGCTCCTGCTTCTACTGGCGGAGCCAGATGCAGCCCCAGCGACGTCCGCGTGAGTCCCTCACGCCCCAGCAGCTGCGTGAGTGGTACGCTGGTTGGGGTTGTAGGGGTGGCGGCGCTGCTACTGCTACCACTACTGCTGCCACTACTACTGGCGGCGGCCAGATGCAGCTCCCGCGACGCCCCCGCGCGTCTCTCACGCCCCAAC